TAGGAATCTAGGGATTTAGAAATTTAGGAATTCGGGAATGTAAGGATTTTTAAATCTAAGAATTTAGGAATCTAGGGATTTAGGGATCTAGGGATTTAGAAATTTAAGAATTTAGAAATTTAGGAATTTAGGAATTTAGGAATTTAGGAATTTAAAAATTTAAAAATTTAAAAATTTAGGAATTTAGGAATTTAGGAATTTAGGAATCTAGGAATTTTTTGATTTAGAAATCTAAGAATCTATGGATTTTTGGATCAAGGAATTTTAAATCTAGGGATTTTTGGATCTAAGGATTTAGGAATCTAGGGGATTTTGAATCCTGGGATTTAGGAATCTAGAGATTTAGAAATCTAAAAATGTAGAAATATTGCAATTTCATAAATTAGGAATTTTCAAATCCAAAAATTCACATCTTTGGATTTTGCAAAGTCCATAATTCAAATTTTTGGAACCTGAAGATTTGAGAATTGATAATGTACAAATTTGAAAATGTTGCTTGCAAAATTGTCACTCAGCAATTTACAAACCTTCACGAAATACAGAAATTCGACAAATTCACAAATAATTCAACATAAAAACTTGTGAAACCAAAAATTTTCAAAGTCCTAATTTTGAAAACCCGAAAACTTGACTAAATTGTACATCTACGACACTTCTCCATATCCCTACACGTAGAAATCCAAATGCTCCCAGTTTTCAATTCCTCTAATTCTGAAATCCACGTCCGTAGTCCGTAGGTGTCTTTCCTATAGGCTGTCATATTTTCCCGGGATTAGCCGTTGATTGTGCGTGCACAGAGACGGGACTTAGGGCACCAGGGACACCAGGGTTGTTGACTCTAGCCTCCTCGCTTACACGCTTGACGGAAAAACGTCGACTTAGGCATTCAACGTCAGCTGCGACCGATTCCGCGGTAGCACACGCCAGACCAGTTCAGCGAATTGAGTAGCTCCACTTGCCATATCCTGCCGCGTCCTGCAGACATTTTCCTGCCTATTACGGCTCGGCCGGATCGGCCTCGGGCAAAGAACTGTTCAATGAAATTCTCCGCTCGCCGCCCGGACGATCCATCGAGCGGATCGACCGCGGATTCCGCTTCCGTCCGGACAAACGCGGGACCCGATCAATCCCTTCTTTCTTTTTTTTCTTCCTCCCTGTTAATTGCTTCGACTGTTTAAGAATTCAGGATGAGAGCAGGACGTGCTGGTGAATGTATAATGTATAAATCGGTTAAAGGACTTGTACGGTTTTTATCGGGTGTAATTAGTGGGAATAAAGGTACGGGAGAATCTGGGAGGTATTTTTGTGGGGGATTCTTTGGTGGTGTGGGAGTTTATTGGTGGATGTGGGTTTTTGAAATGTTGGACTGGATTTTGGGATAATAAAATGTAGTTTGATAGCTGTTTGTAGATTGGATGAATTTTGACTATGATAGTATGTGTACAGTATGTACAGTATGTTTGTTGTTGTAAGTTATGTCTTACGATTAACCTAACTTACAACTGGTACCTATTTTCACGCCATTTAAGAATGAAGTGAACTTTAAGTGTAAAACGATTTTAGCAATTTTATAATTTTATGAGGGCAAGGTTAATAATCTTGATGTAATAATTCTTTGTAATTTTAAAAGATTAATATGAAGTTAACCTAATAATCTTATATCTTATGATTGATGTGAGGGTAATGCTACAATCTCGATATTGCATAATCTTGTAATATTAATGTAATGTTAATATAACAATCTTAATCATGTAGTAATCTTG